GGAACCATTGGGTGAAACAAGGTGAAACATCATGAAAAGAACATGAGTGGCATAGGGGGGACCCCCTTGCACGAGCGTAGCGAAGCTACGCTGAGCGAAGTCCGATTAGACATTGCGCGGACTAACTCAAGCCAGCTCAGACAAGGTCTCTTGGATGCCTGGTGGGGCTTCTTGGGAAGCCTCTGGAGAGCCTGCTGGAGGCAGTTTTGAAACATATTGGGGGTGGTTTGGGGGCCTCTTTTGGGCCTCGTGGAGCCTGAAGGCGATCTCGGGGGTCTCCTTGGGGCGGATGGCTCGAAATCTCAATTCGAGTTTTTCCCAACCATCCTGTGGTGTTGGGTCCTCGTTTTGAAGAGACGGTGCCCCGCGTCTCCTCTCCTCTCCTCCTCCTCCCCCCTCCTCCCTCCTCCCGTCATCATCATCATCATCGTCATCATCATCACCATCATCGTCGTCACCGTCATCGTCATCATCGTCGTCGTCATCATCGTCATCATCGTCATCATCACCATCATCGCCATCATCATCGCCGTTATCGCCACCATCATCATCATTGTCATCCTCTGCTCCTCATCATCATCATGATCATCATCATCAGCATAATCGTCAACATCCTCCGCATCATCACCATCACCATTACCATCATCATCATCATCATCATCATCATCATCATCATCATCATCATCATCATCATCCATCATCATCATCACACCCATTTCGGCACACCCCTCACACGTTTCGTGACCCCAAAGGAAGCTCCACCGAAGGCCCCAGTGGCTGCGCTCGCATGCGGTTCCACCCCCCTTTTCGGCACACCCCTCACACGTTTCGTGGCCCCACAGGGAGCTCCACCGAACGCCCCAGTGGCTGCGCTCGCATGCGGTTCCACCCCCCATTTCGGCACACCCCTCACACGTTTCGTGGCCCCATAGGGAGCTCCACCGAAGGCCCCAGTGGCTGCGCTCGCATGCGGTTCCACCCCCCATTTCGCACACCCCTCACACGTTTCGTGGCCCCATAGGGAGCTCCACCGAAGGCCCCAGTGGCTGCGCTCGCATGCGGTTCCACCCCCCATTTCGGCACACCCCTCACACGTTTCGTGGCCCCATAGGGAGCTCCACCGAAGGCCCCAGTGGCGCTCGCATGCGGTTCCACCCCACCGCATCACACGCGTGGCTTCTCACCCCGGCTGCGCTCGCATGCGGTTCCACGGCACACCCCTCACGCGTTTCGTGGCTCCACGTACCGGTTTCGTGGCCCCATAGGGAGCTCCACCGAACGCCCCAGTGGCTGCGCTCGCATGCGGTTCCACCCCCCCATTTCGGCACACCCCTTACTCGTTTCGTGGCCCCATAGAGAGCTCCACCGAAGGCCTCAGCGTCTGCGCTCGCATGCGGTTCCACCCCTCTTTTCGGCACACTCCTCACACGTTTCGTGGCCCCACAGGGAGCTCCACCGAACGCCCCAGTGGCTGCGCTCGCATGCGGTTCCACCATTTCGGCACACCCCTCACACGTTTCGTGGCCCCATAGGGAGCTCCACCGAAGGCCCCAGTGGCTGCGCTCGCATGCGGTTCCACCTCCCATTCTGGCACACCCCTCACACGCTTCGTGGCCCCATAGGGAGCTCCACCGAAGGCCCCAGTGGCTGCGCTCGCATGCGGTTCCACCCCTCATTCTGGCACACCCCTCACACGCTTCGTGGCTCCATAGGGAGCTCCACCGAACGCCCCAGTGGCTGCGCTCGCATGCGGTTCCACCCCCCATTCTCGCACACCCCTCACACGCTTCGTGGCCCCATAGGGAGCTCCACCGAACGCCCCAGCGGCTGCACTCGCATGCGGTTCCACCCCCCTCATTTCGGCACACCCCTCACTCGTTTCGTGGTCCCATAGAAAGCTCCACCGAAGGCCCCAGTGGCTGCGCTCGCATGCGGTTCCACCCCGCTTTTCGGCACACCCCTCACACGCTTCGTGGCCCCACAGGGAGCTCCACCGAACGCCCCAGTGGCTGCGCTCGCATGCGCCAACTACACGCCGCCCCATGCGGTATTCACAACTACGTATGGTCGGGTCTTTCGTCAGGCTAATGTTTTTCTTTCTCTCTCTCTCTCTCTCTCTCTCTCTCTCTCTCTCTCTCTCTATTTATATCCTGGGGCCCTCTACTGTTGAGGCTCCCGTGGGGCCCTATTGGGCACCTCTTGGGCCGTCTTGAAGCTTTCTGGGGCAATCTTCACGGCCCGAACCCAATCTTCAGACCAGCTGGGGCGGTCTCGGGCCGCTCTCGGGAAACCTCCAAGCGCTCTTGGAGCTGTCCCGGAGGTTTCTGAGGTGGGTTTGTAAGGCGTTTTGACGCCTTCCAGCAGCCTCGGAGGCCCATCGGCAGTGAAAAGGCGACGTGCTACGAACGTACTGCTTGTGGACCGATTTTGAGCAATTTGGAAACTCGGAGCCCTCTTGGGAGCGTCTTCATCCTGTACCTGGAGGCCTCTGGGAGCGTCTGTGGGCCGTTGTGGAAGCGTCTTGGGGTGTCTGGGGTCCGTCTTGGGGATATTGGACCATCTGGGCAACCTCGCGGGCCGTCGGGAGTCCATCCAGGGCCGTCTGGGGGTGGTCTTGAAAGGCAAATGAGCATTCTTGCAGCCGTCTTGGGAGCCTCTTGGACCAGCTTGGGACGGTCTTGGGGGCCTCTTAGGCCGTCTTGGAGCGTCGGGACGACGAAAAATTGAGGAAGCCAAAAACCTTTAAAAGCCTGAAGGCAAGCAATGATTTTGGCTGTTCGGGTCCCTCTTGGGAATGCTCTTGGGGCTGTCTTGGGACGTCTTGGACGCAACTTGGGCCGGGAACCATCTTGGGCGTCTCGGAGCGGTCGTAGGCGCGTCGACGCACGCTTTGACCGTCTTCGACGCCTCTTGGGCCGTGTTTGCAAGCTCTTGGGCGGTCTTAGGCGTCGATTGGGTTGTTTTTGAACCCCCTTGGGCCGTCTTGGGGCGCTCTCGGGGGCCTCTTGGGCGATCTTGGGACGGTTTGGGGGACTTCGTGGTCTGTCTTGGAGAATCGGGACTACGACAAAAACAAGAAAACCAAAAACCCGCAAAACACCAACGGAATTCAATGATTCCGGCCTCTCGCAGCCCTCTTGGGAATGCTCTTGGGGCTCTCTTGGACCGTCTTGGAGGCCTCTTGGGCCATCTGGGAGCCATCTTGGGCGTCTTGGAGCGGTCTTAGGCGCGTCGAGGCACGCTTTGACCGTCTTCGACGCCTCTTGGGCCGTGTTTGCAAGCTCTTGGGCGGTCTTAGGCGCCTATTGGTTTGTCTTTAGGCCCTCTTGGGCCGTCTTGGGGCGCTCTTGGGGGCCTCTTGGGCGATCTTGGGACGGCCATGGGGACTTCGTGGGCTGTCTTGGAGGGTCGGGACGACGACAAAAACAAGAAAACCAAAAACCTGCAAAAAAAACTGAAGTCAATGATTCCGGCCTCTTGCAGCCCTCTTGGGAATGCTCTTGGTGCTCTCTTGGGACATATTGGAGGCCTCTTGGGCCATCTGGGAGCCATCTTGGGCGTCTTGGAGCGGTCTTAGGCGCGTCGTGGCACGCTTTGACTGTCTTCGACGCCTCTTGGGCCGCGTTTGCAAGCTCTTGGGCGGTCTTAGGCGCCTATTGGGTTATTATTAAGCCCTCTTGGGCCGTCTTGGGGCGCTCTTGGGGGCCTCTTGGGCAATCTTGGGACGCTCTTGGGGACTTCGCGGGCTGTCGCGGAGGGTCGGGACGACGAAAAAAACAAGAAAACCATGAACTGCAAGAAACAACGGAATCCCATGATTTCGGCCTCTTGCAGCCCTCTTGGGAATGCTCTTGGGGCTCTCTTGGGACATCTTGGAGGCCTCTTGGGCCGTCTGGGAGCCATCTTGGGCGTCTTGGATCGATCGTAAGCGTCTCGAAGCACGCTTGGACCGTCTTCGGCGCCTCTTGGGCCAGACAAGGGCGCTCCCGGAGGCCCGATCCCGCCACGGGGGGTTGCGGCCCCGGCCAGGGAGCCCCCGGCCCTGCAGCCCGGTATATATATATATATATATATATATATATATATATATATACCCCGACACTCCGCTTTTCTTCGGCGCAGCCAGAGCGCTGCGTTCAAAGGAAGAGGGCCCGCCAGAGTGACCCAGAAGTTTTGAAAAACCCCCACACACCAACACCGGCCCACACTGGCCCACGCCAGCCCACCAGCCAGAGCTCGCCGAATACCCCCCACCCGCACTGGCTCACCATGAAGCCCCGGCAGCCAGCAGGGTGGAGGTTTCAGCGAGCCCCGAGTGCTAGGAACTTCTGAGGGTACTCTGGGGGGGACCAAGACTCAGTCTCTGAGAAGCAACAGGCATGCACGCACGACCATGCGCTATGACGAGACTCTGAGACTGAATAGGCACGCACGCACAGAATGCGCTATGACGAGTACGCCAGGCAGAGACACGGGAGGTGGCCCAAGCAAACTACGGATGACCCCCTTGGGGTCGGCCGCGCCGAACGTTTCACGGGAGCTTCCCAGTATAAGCTACTCGGGGAGATGCCATATACCCCGACCCTCCGCTTTTCTTCGGCGCAGCCAAAGCGCTGTGCTCAAAGGAAGAGAGCCCGCCCGAGTTACCCAGAAGTTTGGAAAACCCCCACACACCAACACCGGCCCACACTGGCCCACGCCAGCCCACCAGCCAGAGCTCGCCGAATACCCCCCACCCGCACTGGCTCACCATGAAGCCCCGGCGGCCAGCAGGGTGGAGGTTTCAGCGAGCCCCGAGTGCTAGGAACTTCTGAGGGTACTCTGGGGGGGCCCAAGACTCTTCCATGACCCCTACTCTGCACAGACTGCGTTGCAGGATGGGCGCCCCCCCCCCTCTACGCATGCCCCGCATGGCGCCTCTCCTGAAACGGACTGATCAGAAGGGAGAGGAATAGGATGAGGTCTGAAAGGAGGGGGTCGGAGGAGAGGGAAGCATCCTTTCAGACATGGGAGGCGAGCGCGCGGGCATCCGCAAGCTGCAGGTCCGACAGCTGCAGCTCGGCCAGCGCGGCCACCGCGTCCTGCGCGCAAACCCGCGCAGACCGCGCGCTCGCCCACCTCCCTCTCAGCAGGGTCTGCTCGAGACTGCCATGCTCCAAAAAGTCATGCGTGGCGCCTCCGCGCCGAAACGAGTACAAGGTCACCCTCTCGTCTGTGAGGCCCAGCGCGACCACTACGCGCCTGAAGAGCCGAATGAACTCACCCCTCTCGATGTTCAGGATGAGCTCGTCGGGCGGTAGCTCTTGCACATGCTGCGCCAGCAGCTTCACCGCGACCCTGGAGCGGATCATGACGAGCTCAAGCCTGCCGTCGCGCTGCCCCGTCTTAGTGTTGCGGAGCGCCACGATCGCTGACATCCGCCGCTGAAAGATGCGAATGTCCCTCCGCCTCAGTTGCAGCATCTCACCACTGCGCAGCATCCCCGCGTAGCCGACGGCGAGCAAGGCGCCCACCCGCGGCAAGCCCCACCAGCAGAAGGCCCCTGCAAAGGCGAGGGCGAGCAGCGGCGGCATCGGCATGGCACGGGCGTTGGGCTCCAACTTAAGCCAAGTCTTCTGGAGCTTCCAACTCTGCTTCAGCTTGCCAGACAGCCGCGGGCTGAAAAATGGCACAGCAGCGAGCACATTGTTCACAGCAAGTAGTGAGCCGCCCGTGCGCCATGCGCGCTCGATGCACAGGGCAACGCCTTGGTCAACATCCCGCACGGTCTTTGGGCGCAGCTGCTGCTCGTGAAAAAAATCTCGCAACTGTTGTCGCGCCTGTTCATAGCGCTGCCGGGTGACAGCAGCAACTCGCCCATCCTGAAGCGGCCTGCTACGCCTGAGCCGCTTGGCGTCCACGGCCCGCTTGAGCCGCGCTGCCGCGACCTGCGCGCCGACGCCCCCGGCAGCCCATGTCAAACCAGCGCGACGGCACATCCGCTGGGTTGTCGTCCGTGTCGACGCACGCGTACAGCGGGTAGCTGCCACAGGCGACGAGGCACGACGCGTGCGCCCGCATCCAGCCCCACAGTCTCCTGGCGCTGGACCGCCCCTTGGCGAGCACGCTGGCCGCCACCTGCGAGTCGAGGAGGTGGAGGTAGCGGGTCCCGAACCGAGCCGTCGTTCGGGCACGCCACTTGACTGCACTCACAGCCGCGCCCACCTCCAGCTCGTTGATGTGCGCCTCCTGCCTCCACGGGAAGCCGTGCCCAATGGACCACGTCCACAGGTTGGACTGCAGCCCGGAGCGCGGCCAGGCCTTGGCACGAAAGGGGGCCTCCAGGTCCATTCTGACGTCTGCACCTCCTCTGCTGGCGACCCGCAGGTACTTGAACACCAGCCGCCTCTCGAGGTCAGGATCGCTAACATCGGCGCCCCCAAACTCGGGCTCCTGGCCCCACGATGGCGGCGCCGCCCCCGTGCGGAGCAACGGCACGATGTCGGGGGCCGCACGGCCAGCCTCTCGAGCCAAGAGCTGCGCAAACAAGTATGACACGACCTGCACGGAGAACGAGTTCCCGATGAGCGACGACCTGATGATCTGTGCCCCAACTCCAGGCAAAGAGTCCTTCACAGCAGCGCGCGTGTATCCGCGATCAAAGCCCATCAGCGTCTCACGCTCATCTGCAGAGGGGATACGCCACTTGTCCCTGGCCGCGTTCCAGAGAAGGTTCTGATCCTCAAAATTGTACACCTGCGTCACATAGCTGGAGGCTGTCCATCGTTCGATCGCGATGTCGCTGGCCGTCTTGATCCCTGCGACCGGAGCTGGGGGGGAGCTCCTCTTGTACAGCTTAGCGAAGGCCGGCAGCACGTGACTAGGGTCAAGCAGGCTCCAGCCGTCTTCAGCCCAGACTGGGATGGCCTCAGCAGCGACATGGAGCTTCACCTTGTGGTAGAACTCAGCCTCCTGGATCTCAATCACATCCTCGCGGGCCTGCAGCTGCCAGGAGAGCCAGTACAGGCGCGGCCTACGCACCGCACCCACATCCATGGCCTCGATGCGGTACGGCTTGACGCCAAGCACCTCGGTGACCATCGCAATGTCGTCCTGCGGCATGCCCGCCACGTTCTCGACGAACCACTTGGTGCGCCGCTTGCCGAAGACCCGCTCGATGGTTTTGAAGGCCTTGGGCAGCTCGAAGAACAGCCCGCTTTTCGCGCCAGCGATCCCCTTGCCAGCTGCATTGAGCCCGCTCACGTCAATACACGGTGAGCCACCCCCTGCAATCGCGCAGCTCGCCACCTCAGCTGCAGAGCGGGCGACCTTCTCCAACGATTCTGGGGCGAGCTTGGTGATGTCCCCCAGCTCGATCACCCCTGGCCATCGCTGCCTGACGCACCTCTTTGCCCCCTTGTCTATCTCCGAGGAAGCACATGACGACCCTGCAGGGGCACCGCGACAAGGCCACCATCGCCGCGCCGATCCCACATGATAATGTTGTTCGTTGTCCTTCCTCCATGATTGTTTGTCCTCATTCTCGCCATACCCTGGGCATTCTCCCCATCCTCCTCAGCTCTTTTTGCGGAGGCTCCTCCTTGGAGAGCCTCTGGGGGCCTCACCAAAGTTCTCATGCTTTCTTAAAGCCTTCTGGAGGCCGCCTGGGTGTGTTCTGGGGGCCTCTGGGGTTTCCTAAGGCCAACCTGCATCTAACCGCGGTCTCCCTGAACGCCCCAGTCACGATTTGGAATGCTTCGGAGGGTGTCTTGGGGCCATCTTGGGCCGCCATGGTGCTCTCTTAGGGCCATTTTGGACCCCTGTTGTGCCGTTTTGGAGCTCTCTTGGACTGCCTGGTAGCCCTTTCGGATGGTTGTGGGGCGATTTGGGAGCCTCCCAGGCGGCTTCGGACGCCTAGGAGACCGCCGTCCTGGAGCGTCGGGAAGCCGAAAAGAGGAGAACCCCAAAAAACCTGTGTAGAATCAATGATTTGTCCCTCTTGTTGCCTTCTTGGGGGTGCTCTTGGAGGCCTCTTGGTACGTCTTGGAGTGATCTTTCGGGGTATGACGGCTTCTTGGAGCGCTCTTGTGCTGTCTTAGGGGTCTCTGGGACGTTTCCTGTGATCCCCCTGATCGCCCTGGGTGTGCTGCGAAGGCTTGGCAAAACGCCCTGCGAGGCCCAGGGGGCCGCTTCGAGGCCCGTCCGGAAGGTCCCAAAACTGCAGATCCCGGGGGTCCGGTTTTAGGGGGGGGGGTCACGGGTTTTCCCCCACCCCGGGCTTATCAAAATATAGGAAGAGGAATATATATCTATATATATATATATATATATATATATATATATATACGCACCTCTCCGAGGGAGTAGAGCTCAGAGGCGATTAATGCGCACGCGTCCGCGATTTTTCTGGGCGTTTCGCTCGGGACATCCTCGAAATTCTGAAAATCGGTGGCACCCCTCACGCAGATCGTGACGTCAGGGTCCAAAAACACATGGGAATTTCAACATTTTAACATAAAACCTTCAAAAACACATGGTAATTTCAATAATTGTGACCCCGATTCTCAGGGAATGGCGGTTTCGCTTGAAAAATCCTTCCAAAATCGAGCCCCAGACCCCGCCTCGGAGCCTCCTGGGGGCCTCCTGGAACCTCCTGGGGCCTCCTGGGCTTTCTGAACCTTCTGGCACCCCAGACCCCGCCTCGGAGCCTCCTGGGGGTCTCCTGAAACCTCCTGGGGCCTCCTGGGGCCTCCTGCGGCCTCCTGGAGCCTCTTGGGGCCTCCTGAAGCCTCCTGGGGTCTCCTGGGGCCTCCTGAGGCCGCCTGGGGCTTCCTGGGGCCTCCTGGGGCTTCAGAACTACATGCACACAGAGACACAAATCACGCCCAACACATCACACGCTAGACAAACATAACACACACACACACACACACACACACACACACTACAACACACAAAAAGCACGCACCACACAAAGCATACATCACACACACACACACACACACACACACACGCACAACACTCACAATCCTGGGGCCTCCTGGAGCCTCTTCTGGTATCCAAGTCGGGCCTCCTGAGGCTTCCTGGGGGGTCCTGGTACACACATCGCAAGGTGAGGCAACCCCACTTGCGCTCCAGTGCGACTTCGATGTTGCAGTTCACTCATGCTTCAAACGCCCCTTCAGTTTTTTGTATGAGCCTGGGCACACACGTGCCACTTGTGTATAATATATATATACATACATACATACATACATACATACATACATACATACATACTAGAACCACGCGCGCGCTTTGCGCGCGCTTAGGTTCTAGCTAGGAGGCGAGCTTGAGTCAACGAAAGTCGCAGGGAAGGGGGCAGGGGGAAGAAGGCCAGAGAGCGCTGAAGGATACAAATACTGGAACCCTCTTGTGATTTTGTGGGGGGCCTCGTCCGGCCGCTCGCTGGAAGTTTGACGTAGCTTCTCGGGAGCCTCTGAACCTGTCGGGGGCCTCCTGGAAGCAGGTTCGAAGCATTTTGGGGGCCGATTTGGGGCTTCTCGGGGCCTCCTGTGGGCCTCTTGGGGGTCTCCTGGGGCCTCTTGAGGGGCCTCCTTGGGGCCTCCTGGCGGCCTCTTGGGGCGGAAGGCTCGAGCTTGCGGTTCGTGGTCCCCCTCTGGGCCCCCTCTTGGGCCCGTCTTGGGGCCCTCTTGGGCCATCTTGGGCGCCTCTTGGGCCGTCTTGGGGCCCTCTTGGGCTGTCCTGGGGCCCTCTTGGAAGCTTCTTGGGCCGTCTTGGGGCGGTCTTGGAGGCCTCTTGGGCCGTCTTGGACGCGGTGAAAGCCCAAGATGCGAACATGCGAAAAATATACGTTTTCCCATAGGAATGGCACGATTTTTGTTTCTTGGACCTCTCTTGGGGTGCCTCTCGGAACGTCTTGGGCTGATTTTGGAAGCCTTTTGGCGCCTCTGGGCGGCGTTTTGGCGCCTCCTGGGATATGTTGGGCCGGAAGCTCGGAATTCGAGAGTGGCTTTCTCCTTCTGGGACCCCTCTCGAAGTCGTCTTGGGGTTCTCTTGGGCCGTCTTGGGGCCGTCCTGAGCCACTCGTGCGCAGCCTTGGAGCGCTCCCGGAGGCCTCCTAGGCCGTCTTGGAGGCCTCTTGGGCCGTCTTGGACGCGGTGAAAGCCCAAGATGCGAACATGCGAAAAATATACGTTTTCCCATAGGAATGGCACGGTTTTTGTTTCTTGGACCTCTCTTGGGGTGCCTCTCGGAACGTCTTGGGGTGCTTTTGGGAGCCTTTTGGCGCCTCTTGGCGGCATTTTGGCGCCTCCTGGAGCCTCTTGGGCCAGAAGCTCGGAATTCGAGGTTGGCTTTCTCCGTCTGGGACCCCTCTCGAACTCGTCTTGGGGCTCTCTTCGGCCGTCTTGGGGCCGTCCTGGGCCACTCGTGCGCAGCCTTGGAGCGCTCCCGGAGGCCTCGTAGACCGTCTTGGGCGCCTCTTGGGCCGTCTTGGACGCGGTGAAAGCCCAAGAGGCGAACATGCGAAAAATATACGTTTTCCCATAGGAATGGCACGATTTTTGCTTCTTGGGCCTCTCTTGGGCTGCCTCTCGGAGCGTCTTGGAGGCTTCTGGGACCTTCTTGGTGTCATGACAGGCGTCTTGGAAGGCATCTGGAGCCATCGGAGCGCGTTCCGAAGCCGCCTGCGAACGATCTTGGACGGCGTCCAGCGGTCCGACGAGCCTCCGGGCCCCCCGGGGCCCACATTTGTGGTCGAGGTCCCGGCCCCGGGCCCCCGGACCCGGTGCGCCGTTATATGTATAAATATGCTCACACACACACACAAACAAACAAACAAACAAACAAACAAACAAACAAACAAACACCACACACACACACACACACACACAAACACACGCACGCACGCACGCACGCACGCACGCACGCACGCGAACACACACACACACACACACACACACACACACACACACACACGTAGCACCCCGCAGATGCGGATAAGAGTGCAGGGGCGGTGGGAACGTCGGCAGTCTGCGAGACTCTGGAGCAGCCCGCTGCAACCGCCAAAGTTTCACTAACTATCGGAGGTGAGGGTGTGAGATCGAAGTGGAACGGAGAACCCCCCTACCGGGAAATCGGTTTCGGTTTCGTGCTCGTGCGTGCCGTGCGTGCGGGCGAGGCGAAACTGCGTGGGCGGGCGAGAGGAGAGTCTCCTGTGGCTGAGGCGCGGCCGGACCAAATGATTCCCTTCCGGCAACCGGTGCCGCGCGGTGTCCCGCCGGTGTCCCGCCTCCAGCTGAGGCGCGGCCAGACCAAATGATTCCCTTCCGGCGTCTGGTGCCGCGCGGTGTCCCGCCGGTGTCCCGCCGGTGTCCCGTCGGTGTCCCGATGATGATGATGATGATGATGATGATGATGATGATGATGATGATGATGATGATGATGATGATGATGATGATGATGCTGGTGATGGTGATGGTGATGGTGATGGTGATGGTGATGATGATGATAATGATGTCGATAATGTTGATGATGATGATGATGATGGTGATGATGATGGTGTCCTGGTGATGATGATTATGATGATGTTGACGACGTTGATGATGATGATGATAAGGATGGTGATGATGATGGCCATTGTGGTGATGATGATAGTGTCCCGATGATGATGATGATGATGTTGATGATGTTGGTGTTGCTGGTGATGATGGTGTCCCGATGATGATGATGATGATGGAAATGTTGATGATCCTGATGATGTTGATGCTGATGAGATGATGATGATGATGCTGATGGTGTCCCGATGATGATGGTGATGATGAGGTTCATGGTGATGCTGTTGATGATGATGATGGTGATGATGATGGTGCCCCGATGATGATGTTGATGATGATATTGACGATGAAGATGATGACGATGATGGTGTCCCGATGTTGATGTTGATGATGAGGATGATGGTGATGTTATTATGATGATGTCGATGATGGTGGCCCGATGACGATGATGATGCTGATGTCGATGATGATGATGGTGTCCCAATGAAGATGATGGTGATGATGATGATGATGGTGACGGTGATGATGGTGTCCCGATGATGTTGGTGTTGATGATGTGGTTCATGATGATGATGATGATGAGATGGTGATGATGATGGTGGTGTCCCGATGTTGATGATGACGTAGAGAACGGCTGGGAGGATCGGGATGGGACGAGGATGGAAGCGAGGATAAAAGGGAACACGTTGCAGCTGGTAGGCGCAGAATGAGCCTGGCCCCCAGGGGCGCCAAGAAGGGCAAGACGTATCACCTCTGAATACAATGAGGAATTTGAACAAGAAACCCTTGGGCAAGGAATCTAGGGGCTGACAGCTGATGGAACCCCAACTGAGGTTTGACAATGAATATCACCGCCGCTCTCATCAGATCAGGAGTCCTCCAGGGTCCGACGCCTCCTAGGCCCATTCCGACACTACGCCCCTACCGTATAGGGATGCTCAGAGCACCTTGCTGGTGCAGTGACCGCGCGCCCTGGCTCCACCACCAGACGCCAGCGAGAAGGGAGGGAAAAGGAAACCCATCCCATGTCATGATTGATTCAATGCGTGGCCTGGCGCAGAGAGGGACGCCGCCAGCACCTGGCGGCTGCGTGTGCCCATATATCGGATATGGCGGAGTCAGGTCGGGGATGGCGCGTTTTTCTTTATCTTCGGCGACAACGGGCGCTATGGGGATGGGCGGGGGGAATATGACGTAACGCCCCCCCCAGCCGTGAGGTTCTGGCGCCACCACAGCGTCCGCGCGCACGACGACGACGACAGGCGACCACGACGACGACGACGACGACGAAGACGACGACGACGACGAGCGACGACGACGACGACGACAAGCGACGACGACGACGACAAGCGACGACGAAGCGCGACGACGACGACGACGACGACGACGACGACAGGCGACCACGACGACGACGACGACGACGACGACGACGAGCGACCACGACGACGACGACGAAAACGACGACGACGACGAGCGACCACAACGACGACGACGAAAACGACGACGACGACAAGCGACGACGACGACGACAGCGACGACGATGACGACGACGGCGACGACGACGACGACGAGCGACCACGACGGCGACGACGACGACGACGAGCAACGACGACGACAACGACGACGACGACGAAGGCGACGACGACGAACGATGCCTCCAGATGTCTCCTAAGGCCTCTGGAAGCCTCCATTGAGCTTCCAGAAGTCATCCGAAGGCCTCCAGAGGCCCTCGAAAGCATTCGAAGGCCTTTGACAACGACGAGCGACCGCGAGTGATGGCGACCGACGACGACGACGACGACGACGAAGACGACGACGAAGCGCGACGACGACGACGAGCGACGACGACGACGACGAAGCCCGACGAAGACGACGAAAACGACGAGCGACGTCGAGCGACGACGACGACGACGACCGACAATAAAGAGCGACAAGGAGTTGTGGCGAGCACGTGCCTGCGAAAGTGTCTTCGCCTCCGCGTGGCGTGTAAATGGTATGCTTTCTACCTTCCTCCTCCATCGTCGTCGTCGTCGTTGTCGTCGTCGTCCTTCTCCTCCTGTTGCTCTCTCTCTAATGCGAGCACCAAATGCATGAGAGCACCGCAACTTGCCCGCGACCACCTTCCCTATGCGGATCTCTATGTGGATCCTTATGAGGACCCCTCTGGGGATCCCTGTGCGCCTCCCTATGAGGATGCCTATGCGGATTCCGATGGATAACTCTATGCGATCCACATTCGGATCCCTATGCAGATGTCTGTGCAGATGCCTGTGCGGATCCCTATTCGGGTTCTTATGCGGATCCCTATGCGCACGGCGGCAAGGGCGGGGGCGCACTGGGGGCCGGAGCGTTACGTTATACGGGGGGAGGGGGGGCGGGGGGGCCATGACGCGCGTTATGGCCCAAGCAATAAAGAAACACGCTTTGCAGAAGGCTGGGGCGAGAGGAGGAAGACGCGAATAGGTGAACAGTAGAAGGATGCGGAGGCTGGTGGATGCAGCGCCGACCTTGCAGCACACTGCTTCCTCTCTTAATAAATGTCGCAGATGGACTCACGGAGGAAGTGCAATTGTACAAATTCATACCAATTACGTAGGCATCCCCAGCATAACCCCTCCTTTCCCCTCTCCTTTCACCGCCAACCCCTGGGGCCCCGACATAGCGCTCTGCGACAGCATCACGGCGTGATGGGTTGTGAGACGATTCTGTGCCCCGCAGCGGGCTTCGCCGTGCGTGACGGGCAGAACCAGAGCGAGTTCGGGATCCAGCCTTGGATGAAGCGAAGTCTGCTTGCTGCTTGCAAAGAGGAGGACTCAAGGGGAACGAAGAGGGGGTCAGGATGGCGGCCCCCACCGGACGGCCAAAATGCGGGCCCCGCCGGTGGGCGCCGCTCACGCCTCCGGCTTGGCGAGCGGCTCCGTGGAGGCCCCCGGCCCGGCCATCTCCGCCTCCATGATCTTCTGGAACTCGGCGTGCTTCTCCCTGGCCTCCTTCAGGGGCGTGCCGTACAGGCCGCGGCAGGTGAGACTCACGGCCAGCATCAGGAGGCACGCCCCCACGAAGCCCCCGACCAGGAGGGGCAGCACCCTGTCGGTCACCATCAGGCGGCAGGCGAGCAGCACGGCGGCCACGAGGGCCAGGACGAGGGAGGGCTTCCAGTCCCCGCCGACCGCGGCGTCGAAGGCAACGGCGTTGGCATTGATCCAGCCCGAGCCGATGCACGCGCAGATGATGAGCGACTGTGCCAGTTCAAGCAGTGTGCCGGGCCCCCCTGGACCCAAGAGCCCCAAGAACTCGCCCCAGAGCGCCACCAACAACCCCACGCCCGCGCACGAGTCCGCAATCCCGAGCACGATCCGGAACAGATCTCCGGGCACGCCGTAGAAGGGGCCAATTAACAGGTGGAAGCCGTCCTTCATCAGCTTGTGTAGCGGGTGGGCGGGAAGCAGCTTGGACAGGCCGGGGCCCGCTGTGAGGCCTAGCCCGTAGAGGGTGCCGAGCGCGAGAGCCACCACGCCGGGGATCGTCATCATTATCGTTGCAATGGGCGCGGTGGGTCTGGAGTGTGTCGGCGCCTTGGTGCTGCGGGCTTGGCCGCAGAAATAAGGGAAGGAACAATGACAGAAACATGAAAACTCGGAGGTCCGCGCGGATTTCTCGGATCCGCGCTGGATCCCCCCTCCCTGGCGCGCGGAGCGCGCCAGGGGCGGCGCTGGAGGCGCCGCCAGGGGGGTCCAGCGCGGATCCGAGAAATCCGCGCGGATCTCCGAGTTTTTATGTTTATGTCATTTTTGGATCCCCTGAGACACTCTTCCAGAGCTGGAGGATGGAGACACAGATGAGAACAAGGAGCGTTCTGGTCCTTTTCGGCTTCAGAAAGCAGTATGCGTGGGCAGAGGATCAGACATGGATGAGAACGTTGATATACGTCTTGCGCACAACACATGCATGACAGAAGTCAGAGTGAGTGGGTCGAACGGTCATTCATTGTCCCTGGGTGCGAGGCCGAAGTGGGGATCCGTGGTAAGCATTGTGTGTTGCGTTGTTGTGTTTGTTGTTTTTGTTATTGTTACTGGTGCTGTTGTTGTTGGTGGTGGTGTTGCTGATGTTGTTGCTGGTGGTGGTGTTGTTGGTGTTGCTGCTGTTGTTGGTGGTGGTGTTGTCGTTGTTGCTGTTGTTGCTGTTGATGTTGGTATTGATGTTGTTGTTGGTGCTGCTGGTGTTGTTGGTGGTGCTACTGTTGTTGTTGGTGTTGTTGGTGTTGTTGGTATTGTTGTTATTGTTGTGGTTGTTATGGTTGTTGTGGTTGGTGTGGTTGTTGTTGTTGGTGGTGGTGTTGTTGTTGCTGTTGTTGTTGCTGATATTGTTGTTGTTTGCTGTCGTCGTCACACCCGCGACCCACCCGCGACCCACCCCGCGACCCCCCTGCGACCCACCCTGCGACCCACCCCGCGACCCCATCCGCGACCCACCCCGCGACCCACCCCACGACCCACCCGCGACCCCACCCGCGACCCACTCGCGACCCACCCGCGACCCACCCGCGACCCACCCGCGACCCACCCCGCGACCCACCCCGCGACCCACCCTCGACCCACCCGCGATCCACCCGCGACCCACCTGCGATCCACCCGCGACCCACCTGCGACCCACCCGCGACCCAGCCCGCGACCCACCCGCGACCCACGCGCGACCCACCGCGACCCACCCGTGACCCATCCGCGACCCAGCCGCGACCCATTTGCGACCCACCCGGGACCTATCCATAATGGTTTTAAGAACAAATCAGCGCCTGCGGCGGGCTCGTTGTATAACTTGTGAAATGTTGGCGCCTGCGGCGGGTTTCTCCAGAGTCTCGCAGACTGCCGACGTCCCCACCGCCCCCCCACTCTTATCCGCATCTGCGGGGTGCCACGTAATGGCATATACGCTGCAACCCAAAAGGTCGTACAAGAAAGTACGTAGCAAATGAGTCGCGGGAGGGTCGCACATGGGTCGCGGGTGGGTCGCAAATGGGTCGCGGCTGGGTCGCGAGTGGGTCGCGGATGGGTCGCGGGTGGGTCGCGCGTGGGTCGCGGGTGGGTCGCAGGTGGGTCGCCGGGCGGGTCGCGGGTGGGTCGCGGGTGGGTCGCGGGGAGGGTCGCGGATGGGTCACGGGGTGGGTCGCAGGTGGGTTGCGGGTGGGTCGCGGGTGGGTCGCGGGGTTGGTCGCGGGTGGGTCGCAAGTGGATCGCGGGTGGGTCGCGGGTGGGTCGCGAGTTGGTCGCGGGTGGGTCGCGGGGTGGGTCGCGGGTGGGTCGCGGGGTGGGTCACGGGGTGGGTCGCAGGGGGGGGGTCGCGGGGTGGGTCGCGGGGTGGGTCGCGGGTGGGACGACGACAACAAACAACAACAGCAACAACAACAACAACAACCACAACAACAACAACAGCAGCAATAACAACAACAACAACCACAACAAAAACAATAACCACAACAACGACAACGACAACAAAAAACACCACCACCACCACCACAACAACAACAACCACAACTGCAACCACAACCACCACAACAACAACAACAACAACAACAATAACAACAACAATAATCACTTTACCCGAACGCTCAGTGTTCTCACCAGTGCCAGGGTTTTCATGCGACGCCAGCCAATACCCCCACTTTGTGGGGGGGCAGTGCAAGCTCTACCAAATATCCACACGACCCTTCGCCACCACCCACACCCAGCTTCCCGCCCTATGACGTTCGGACACTTCACTTCGTGGCCTGCGGACGACCGTGGCTACTACACTGGCGTGGAGCAACCTATGGCGCAACCGATAGGGGGACGTTTTATTCTCGGCGGCCGAGGGCGCAACCTATGGCGCAACCGCAAGGGATTGTGGCCCCTGGCAGGCGCGCGAACCCCGTTGCAAGAGCGTGCGAAAGTAGCTCGCGCGAGCTCATGTAACATAAATGTTGGAAAACCATTGGTTTTTTAGGATTCGGACAGCGCGCGCGGGTAGAAATTTTGAAAAGTCGTGCAGGTGTTTTTCGAGGACCTACGGTGCGATTCGTGTGATTTTATGATGCGCGGTGCTAAAATTCTTAAGAAGCCCAATGGTTTTTGGAGATTTCGGCGTGCGCGCGCGAAGAAAAAACGAATGTGTCCCGCATGGTATTATTTGACAGGGATGATGGCCCTGGCAGGTGCGCAACCGTTGTCGCAGAAGTTCGAAAAAGTTGCTCGCAAAAGCCCGTTTGACAGAAATGTTTAAAAAGTGTTGGGTTTCCTACGAATCCGCAAGAGCGCGCGGGATGAGATTTTGACATTTTTTTGTTGAAAAACCATTGGTTTTTTGATGTTTTTATGTTAAAATCGCTTCCGAACACTAAGCTTTTGGAAGGATTTCGTCTTGCGCGCGCGAATGTCCACTTTACCTTATTTTTTGCAAGGGATTCTTGAAATTTGATTATATTAGAACAAGAAATGTCATTTTATAGTGTTTTTTGCAAGGGAAAACGGATTACAACAAAACAACCGGATCTGGATCACATCGTTTTACCTGAGGCTTCCTCACGAAAATGATGAAAATGTGGCTGCGGCCTAGGCGCGGCGGGGGGGTCGCGCACCAGGGGTCCCAACAATAATTATTCTTAAGAAGAAATAATGTTCAACAACAACAACAACAACAACAACAACAACAACAACAACAACAACAACAACAGCAACAGCAACAGCAACGACAACAACAACAACAACAACAACAACAACAACAACAACAACCATGTTACCCTCATGCGCGATGCTTCCACACGAAGCATGCGACCATCATGAGAACCACCCCCATCATGGGGGAGTATTGTCGTTATTCCCATTTCCAGATCTCCCGCGCAATGAGGTCTTGCAAACACCTCCTCCGAGAAATTTCAACATATCCCACCTCGAAACACATGCCCGCGCTCTGCGCCGATGCGACACCGCCAGTGGAGCCCCAGCCAAGGGTAAAGCACAAGGAAGTATCGAGCGACAGGATTGCCTTGGTGGGGATGGGGGCCGTCGGCGGCGAGACAAGGACCTGGCCCTGAATAGAAAGGGAGAAAATCTCGAGCAGGGCTGCTGTTGTTGCTGGGAGCGGCGCCACTGCTGAAGAGAGTAGGGCGCTAGTCCAGCGTAAAACAAAACGAAGTCTCGAGCGGGAACGCTGGTTTTGTTGGGACGGCGGCTTTCGGCGGCGGGGAGAAACACCGCCTTGAGTAAGAAAGGAGGAAGCATCGAGCGGGAGCCGTGGCTGTGTCGGGACGGGAGCTGTCGGCGGCGAGGAACAGCACCGTCCCGAGGAGAAAGATAGGAAATCTCGAGCGGGAGCGTTGTTCTTGCTGGGAGCGGCGCCAATTCAAAAGAGAGTAGGGCGCCAGACCAGCGTAAAACGGAAGGAAGTCTCGGGCGGGAGCGCTGGTTTTGTCGGGGCGGTGGTTTTCGGCGGCGAGGAGGAACACCACCTTGAGTTTGAAGGGAGGAAGCATCGAGCGGGAGTCGTGGTTTTGTTGGGACGGGGGTTGTCGGCGGCGAGAAACAGCACCGTCTTCAGGAAAAAGGGAGGAAGCCTCGTGCGGGAGCGTTGAGCGTTGTTCTTGCTGGGAGCGGCGCCAATTCACAAGAGAGCAGGGCGCCAGCCCAGCGTAAACCGGAAGGAAGTCTCGGGCGGGAGCGCTGGTTTTGTCGGGGCGGCGGTGTTCGGCGGCGAGGAGGAGCACCGCCTTGAGTAAACATGATCGGCCCACGCACCCCGAAAGGAATATAGAAATATAAGGCGTAATAACGTTTCAAAGACACCCGATTGGGCGACGGGCAAATGCAATGCTGAATGTATCGATCTTGGTGTACTGTGCCGACGGCTGTGCTGTGCTACGCCGTGCTGAACTGCGATGTGCCATGGCGCGATTGTGCTCTACATAGCGTTGTGGATCGAGTCCTCCCTGGCATCCGAGTCCTGACCGAACTGATCTGGATCTTAAGCTCGAGATGCCTGAGCAGATGGTAGCTACCCCAAAACTAATCGACAGAGGAGACATGCCAGGAGGACGCGCCGACGAACGTCCAAAAGGAACGCGCCAGGCGACGTGCCAGGGGACGTGCCATGGGGACGCACCGCGGGACGTGCCAAGGGGACGCGCTACGGAACGTGCAAATGGACGTGCCGCGGGACGTACCAAGGGACGCGCCGCGCGACGTGCCAGGTGGACTCGCCACGGAACGCGCCAAGGAACGTGCCAAGGTGCAATGTTGAGTGTATCGATCTTGATGTACCGTGCCGACGGCTGTGCTGTTTTCACGCTTGTCCCGCTCTGAGGCGTTAGGAGACCATGTGTTTTCACGCTTGTCCCGCTCTGAGGCGTTAGGAGACCATGCATTTTCACGCTTGTCCCGGTCTCGGGCGTTAGCAACCCACGTATTTTCACGCTCGTCCCGCTCTCGGGCGTTCGGAACCCACGTGTTTTCACGCTCGTCCCGCACTCGGGCGTTAGGAACCCACTTGTTTTCACGCTTGTCCCGCCCTGGGGCGTTAGGAACCCACGTGTTTTCACGCTTGTCCCGCCCTGGGGCGTTAGGAACCCACGTATGTTCACGTGTCGCAGCCACCCATGGGGGAATAGCTAGCATGCGGTCGTCTGGGCCCCCAACAGTGGGGGAAGGCACAAAAGCAAGAAAAAGTAAACGAATCGACACCAGATGTGTAATAACTTGACACGTTCCGTCCTGGGGCCCTGGGGAGGCCTCCTGGGGCCTCCTGGGGCGGCCTCTGAGGCATCAGGAACCCACCTGTTTTCACGCTTGTCCCGCTCTGAGGCGTTAGGAGACCACGCGTTTTCACGCTTGTCCCGTTCTCGGGCGTTAGGAATCCACGTGTTTTCACGCTTGTCTCGCGCTGGGGCGTTAGGAA